CCTGAATGAAAAAATGAATGAAGATTTTTAACAGTAAAAATGAAAGTTACGTAGTGACCTGGCCAGACATCACAACAAACAAAACAGTAGAATCAAAATAAGCTCAAAATGAAAAGACGTGTGAAAGAATATTCACAATTTTTATGTTTTATAAAAGTGTTCTACAACTTCAACTACCAATTGTTAAAATATAATGTCTAAATATGTCAGCACCTATTGTATGTTTAGCTTTATCGGTACATTTTAGGGACACAGTACAGCTCCATTCGTCACTGGGATCTTGTCCCTTACATGACTTATCAGGTTCTTATTTTTTTCCCCATTCTCCCGCCCGCTCTTCACCCCCTCCACCCTTCCTTGTTTACAAAAATGTTGTTTCCGTGTTTTTCCTTTTCACATGTTCTTTCTTTTCCCTTCTTACCTTTCCCCTACCCCTCCCACTTCCTCTACTCTTTTAGATCTTTTCTTCCTACTACACAATATCAATTATACATTTTAATCTTTTTTTTTTTTTGGTCTGGGGATCGAACTCGGGACCTTGCACTTGTGAGGCAGGCAGTGGAACCACTGAGCTAAATCCCCAGCCCTTTATACATCTGAATCTTTATTGACACTTTTAGTTTATCACACCAGAAAAATTAATTAATTAAAAATTTTGAACATTTACACCAAAAATAAGACATAACAGATATAAATGAGCATAGGAAAAGATATGAATTAATACCACAACGTATCTGTTAAAAGGTTGGAAAAAACAAAGAAAAAGAAAAATGTTAATATTGGAAAAGATTTGTAACACAGAAATTTCCATATATCACTGATTCAATTATACAATTGTATGGCTACGTTACAAAATAGTTTTAGTGAAAAATGAAGCATTAGTTTAATATGTGACCCAGAAATATAGATTGTAGGCATTATTCAAGTTAAAAAAATTAAATTTATAGAAATCTTGATGTGAATGTTTCTCACAACCACTAAAAACTGTAAAATGTGTAAATATCCCTTGCTGGTGAACAGATACACCGAATACAGGTACAGAGTGAGATTCTACCCGGCACAACGAGATGGGTGGGAAAGAAAAACATAACCTTGCAAAAGAAAAGAAAAACAGAATGTACAGATTAGAGGAAGGGGTAAAGGAACACACTGAAACTGCCCCCTCTTAGATTCTAGCCCCTTCCCGCTTTTGCCTGCTCGCTTTTGCAAGTTCCGCAGCAACATCCAATAGATTTAAAGTATAAAGTATAACCAATGTAAAAGGGAAAATTTCAAGCCTCCCAAGCCCTATAAAAATGGGCTTTAAAAGAAGGTCAGGGCTCTTGTCACTGAACCACTACACAGGTGAAGTCCAAGAGTCCAGGCTCGAGCTTGTAATAAACTCCTCGTGTATTTAAATCGGACTCAACTCTTTGGTGGTCTTTGGGGACATCGAGATCTGGGTACAGCAGTATCTCCCACAGTGACTGCACCAGTCTGCACTCCCACAAACAATAGAGAAGGCTTCCTTTCTCCCCACAATCCCACCAACATTTGTTATTGGTTGATTTCTTGATAGCAGCCATTCTTTCTGGGCTGAGGTGAAATCTCAGTGTTATTTTCATCTGCATCCCTCAAATGACTGGTGATGTTGAACACTTTTTCATCCATTTATTTGCTGCTTTTACTTCTTTGTCTGAGAAATACCTGTTCAGATGCCTATTTTGGACTGGGTCTTTATGTTGAAGGGGTTTGATTTTTTTTTTTTTTTTGAGTTTTAGATAGTAGACCTTTGAGGAACAGTTGGCAAAAATTTTTTCCCAAGTTGTGGGTTATCTTTTACTTCTGCTTGTGATTTATCTTGCTGTGCAGAAGCTTTTTTAAAAAATGAGACCTCAATTGTTTATTCTTTGTGCTAGCTCCTGTGCTACTGAGGATTTGTTTATAAAGTCTTTTTCTATATTGATATCTTCAAGAGTTCTACCTAACTTATCTTTCAGCAAGTTTAGTGTTTCTGTTTTAATGTTTATATCTTTAATCCACTTGGATTTTAGTTTAGTGCATGGTGAAGTTACGGGTCTAATTTTAACCTTTGACAAGGTGAAATCCAGTTTTTCCAGCACCATTTATTAAAGAGGCTATCTTTCTTCCAGAGAGGCTGAGTATGTCAGGAGTTGACTCTGCATCTTCTGATCTGTTCCACTGATCCTCAGGTCTGTTTCTTTGCCAGTACCATGCTGTTTTTATCACAGTAGCTTTGTAGTATAATTTTAAGTTGGAGAATTGAGATAGCCCCTGCCATGTCTCTGTTGTCTAGAAATGCTTTTGCTATTGTAGGTCTCTTCTGATTCCAAATGAATTTTTCGATTGTTTTCTCTAGATCTGTGAAATATATTGCTGGGATTTTAATAGGGATTGCATTGAATCTGTATAGCAGTTTTGGAAGTATGGCCATTTTCACTATATTGAGTCTTCCTATCCAGGAACATCTTTTCATTTTCTTATATCCACTTCAGTCTCTTTTTTCAGGGTGTTGTAGTTCTAAATGAGAGGTCTTCTGTTTCCTTTGTTAGATTGATTCCATTGAAGAAAGATGTTTAATGACTCAATATCAAACTTAATATTCCATAATGTTTTAAAAACATTGTACAGAATTTTAAGTTTTTCTGCTCATTAATTTTTTAATTGATTAATTTTATTGGTACATTAAGGTTTATAATGCAATGACGCTCATCATTGGAAGTTTGTATCTTTACATAATCCATCTTGGTTCTTTGTATTTTCCCATTCCTCTGCCCTCCCTTCAACCCCTCCACCCCTCCCTATCTACCAAGACTTTGTTTCCATTTTTTTCTTCCTCTCATAGTAATTCCATTCTCCTCTTTCTTTTCCCTACTCCTTATACTTCCCCTTTGAAACTTTTCTTCCTATTTCACATTATCTTTTATACCTTTTAGTCCTTATTTACACTTTCAGCTTCTCACACTAGAGAAACTATTTGGTATTTATACATATGTGCCCTATTTTTTTCACTCAAGTGTATGGCTTCAATGTGCATCTGTTTAGCTATAAACATTTCTCATTTCTCATTCTTTATGCCTGAGTAGTACTCCTTTATATGTAAACACACACACACACACACACACACACACACACACATTTTCTTCATCCAGTTCCCCTTTGATGGGCAGTTGGGCTGCTTCCATTTTAGCTACATGAACTGCACAGCTGTTAACATGGGTGTTAATGCTCCATCAATTTTTTAGTATTTGTGCTGCCGAAGTGAGCACTGCTTCATCAATTTTTAAAAGGGCAATTTGTATCTTTGTATAAATAAAAATTCTCTGTATTTTAATTGTATGAATCAAAATATATTACCAATATATACTCTATTCATCATAATATTAAGCTCGCTTTTCTTTACATAAGCAATGGTACAACTATAATTAAGATTCATAAGATTAAAAAACTTACTGCAGTTTTAAACTGTACACTAACTAAATCCATTTTGTGGTCCAAACATTTAAGAAAAATTTAGGTGTGGAGTTACAGTGATGCAATATTTAATGAAATTATACTTCAAATGCATCCTTAGGAAAGTTAGAGGCCTCTAATTGCATCACTGATATTCACACTCAAGAGTCTATAAAGCCTTGGACACGGTTAGCAGTATCTTCAACTTAAAACAGCCTCCAAAATTAGGAGCTATGAAAGCATCAACAATTAGCAGTGTAAAGCTAGGGATATTAACAGATTCAGAATTTTCAAGACCTGATTGTAAATTTTTTGAAAAAAAAACAAAATCTATAACACTATATGTCACTCTTATCCAAGAATTTTAAATAAAAATAAAATTTTTAACAAGTAGAACTACTGTGATTTTGCAAGGGGAAATAAAGTTTCTTGCTTGAAAATTATTTATATGAAATCAAAAGTGTTGTGTGTTTCATTTTGTTCTAATCTTTTTTATTCAAAGCTTAGCATGTTCTTTGGCTAGCTTGAAATATATTTCAATATATTTAATAAATATAACTTGAGTTATATATTTTATTTCATTCAGATTTTTAGGAAATACTATTTTATCTGCAATATAGTACTTAAAATAACACAAAATACAATTAAAATAACAAAATTTTTAAAAATTATATTTGTATCAGTTTAGTAGCCCTTTATTCTTCCTATTTTTCTTACCAGGTTGATTGGATTAATGTATTAATGTTGATTCTTTCTAAGCTAAAATAAAAATGCCTCATGTATTCTGAAGTAATTTTGTAAGATTTTATAATATATAATGCTTTCAGTTACAGTAAATGTTTGAATAAAACTAAATTTACATATTTTTCTATATTTTGAGCATCAAGAAAACATTTTGAAATTCCTTTTGTTGCCAGAATGAACAATAAGCATGAATTTTTTTATTTATTGATACAATTTCCACTTCCATTGCCAAATAGCTTTTTACTAATCTCTGTAACAATATTGTAATATTTGGCTATAATTAAGAATCTAAAGATTTAAAAAAATATATATATATTTTATTATAGTTACTGTGTTTTCCCCAATATTGAATTTATTAAACTGCTAATTTTTGTGAGCGATTTTGAATATTATTAGCTTTTTGTTTTGTGCACACAAACAACAGCAATTAATGTCCTAACTCAGCTTAATTTAAGATAAAGACCTGTTTGTCAACAGTACCAAACGTATATGTGGTGTCATTGTTGAATAGATGACTACTGAAATAAAATGTTTATTGCAGTAAGCATTATCCTTCCTGAATATACTCCCGTTTGCTTAAAAACAGACAAACCTAATCCCATCGTTCTGGCCACTCCCTGAAATACTTCCAGAATCCCTCTCTTCTGAGTGTCTTTATTTGCAGTCCGTCCTGGCTGCCTCATTGTCCCACCCTGATTCTAAACATTTACCTTTCGTGATCCTTTTGACTTTGGGGAAGAGCTGAAGTCGCAAGGCTGCGGCCTCCGAAGGCAGCGGAAGACGGCACAGTACCGCAGGTTGGGAGCCTGTCTTTCGCGGATGGCACTCAGCAGCAGCAGTCACTGCGTTTTGGGTTTTTTTTTTCACACCTCTTGAAGACACTGAGGAGAGAAGAGTTCCAGCACTGCTTCAGAGGGTGGAACCACGATGTGACAAGGGTTGGAATATTTTAAGAAGGGTTCATGACCGTGTCTTTTGCTGTTATAACGATTCCAAATTTAAACAGACACTATATTCTACTCACACAGCCTAAAAATAAGACTTGAAAATAAGCCAGCATTGTGCTGATTTTATGGCAACTACACAACACACAATAAGCAAAGCGAAGTAGAAAAAAATCACAGGTCGTGTTTCCGTCTAACTTCTTTGTTCCAGGGATTCACTGGTTTGCCAGATGCCACGCTTTCATGCCCTGCACGGTGAAGCCCAGCTGGGCTCGTGGCAGTGTCCCCGAGGGTCCAGACGCACTGCCCCGAGGGGGCGCGCAGCTCAGGGAAGGTACAGAGTCCACGCGCTAGGGTGAGTGAACCTCACGAATGATCACTAACATCTTGCAGAGGTCTAATTCAGTGGTGCTACAGATGACGTGTTCACGTGCAAGACACGAGTTAAGAAAAATTACTAATTTGATATTTATTTGGCATTATTTGTTGATCTACCACCTTGATCACAAGGCAGAGAATGCAGTTCTTTTATTACTCCCTATTTATTCACAGTTGTCTGCATTCCACAGACATCTTGCAGTCTCTTCCCCATGCACTTTCTCTGCTCTAGGACAACCGTATTCTCCACATTAGAAACGATCATAAATCTTTGAAGAAACGTCTTACAATATTCTACATGGTGAGTTATACCTTCAGGGCTTCTACAGACGCTGGAGTTTGTCAGTGTCCGTGAGCAGTGGGAGGCTGGATGAGCAGAGGAAGAGACAGAAAGGCGGGAAAGAGTAAATCTGCACTTAGTAAAAAACCAAGCTGCAGAAACTTATTTTAAAACTCTGCACTGAGTCAATGATTTCCGATTGTGAGACAGCAAGTAGATAAAGAAAAAAAAAATAGGTTAACAAAAGAAAGAGGATAAAGATGATATTATTCTCATTAATATTTTCTTTTTTTTTTTTTTTATTGAGTTTATTGGTACATTTAGGGATACAGTACAGTTACATTCATTGTTGGGATCATGTACCTTTACATGGCAAGTCTTGATTCTCATTTTTTTCCCCTTACCTCTGCCCTCCCTTCACCCCCTCCTCCCCTCCCCATCTACAAACACTTTATTTTCATCTTTTCATTCTCTCACATTTTTT